GGTTGCTGAATGTTTCCCGGAGTACCATTTCTCGCCTTTGGGATAGGTGTAACCGACGGCGAACTTCAACACGTAACCGCCTAAGCTCAGGCCAAACAAGAGTGACACCACCTGACCTGGATCGTTACATCCGGTTACGTCATTTGCGGAAACGGTTCTCAACAGCGACCTCTACTGCAGCAGCAATTCCTGGACGACGTAGAATCTCCGACCAGACAGTCCGTAAACATCTACGTGAAAGCGGATTACGAGTCTTGACGTCCCGTTAGAGCTGCTGTTTTGAAATACGCCGACACCGTGAATTCCGACTTCAATGGGTTCAGACACAAAGGGCAGGGCCACAGCAACACTGGAGAACAGTTTGGTTCAGTGACGTGTCACGGTTCCTGTTGCAACGAGGCGATGGTAGAGCGAGAGTATACCGACGACGAAATCTCACATATATACTGAGCGCCATGGAAAACGCATCACTTTTTTTCCCAAATATTTTATTACTAGGTGGTTTTGTATGTATAATATAATGCAATACTATGAACTATTGTTTCACACCATGCTCCCAAACGCAAAAAAAATTGCATGAGATGCACATGAAAAACCCAATATTCACGTGCAGCATTGTGTGTGAGCCCTTTAAAAGCATGTTTTCAACTTAATTTGCAGTACATGAACTGTGAAACGTCAATCTGTCGTAATTTTTTGTTGGACGTGTGACGGAATCGAGCTAGAGATGCCGAGACTTACTGAAAATCAACGGAATGAAGCCATGGGAATGTCCAGGGCTGGCATGTCTACACGTGCTATTGCCAGACACTTCAATTGTCATCAGTCCACTATAGTAAGGTTGGTGGAACGTGTTAGAGTTACTGGATCAACACGTGACCGTCAACGTTCTGGTCCACAAGGCGTTACAACCCAGGCTGAAGACCGCTACATCCGGGTCACTCATCTGCGTGACAGATTCCGCCAAGCGACTCGAACAGGTGCAGCAGTCGTTGGAAGACAAGGACCAGTAAGTGCCAACACCGTAAGACGTCGTCTAAGAGAAGTAGGACTCCGTGCACGACAACCTTATGTTGGTGCTATCCTCAGGGATCATCACCGTTAGCGGCGTTTGATATGGGCTCAAGGACACCAGACATGGAGAAGAGTAGACTGGCAAAGTGTGCTCTTCAGTGATGAGAGTTGCTTTCATCTTTATCACGCTGATGACCGTCAACGTGTGTGGAGACGTCTTGGGGAACGTCTTGCAGACTGCTGCGTCTTCGAAACGAATCGATGGGGTGGGGGAAGTGTAATGGTGTGGGGAGGCTTCACATTTCATCACCGGACCGCCCTACACATTTGCAGGGGTCGCGTTAATGCTGTAGCCTACCGTGATGATGTCTTGCAACCAATTGTTGTTACGATGTTTCAAGCGCACCCACAACTTCAGCACCTCCAACAGGATAATGCACGTCCGCATACCGCCCGTTTTAGTATGGTCTACTTGGCTGCTAACAACATCAATGTCTTGGACTGGCCAGCCATGTCTCCGGACATGGCACCGATAGAACATGTCTGGGATGAGATTGGACGCCATCTGTATCGGAGACCACAGATGCACACCATTGCTGCTTTAGAAGCTGCTCTTGTCCAAGAATGGAACAATTTGCCCCAGGCCTTCTTTCAAACATTTGTAAATTCCATTCGACGTCGCTGCACAGCGCGCGTAAAAGCCCGTGGAGGACACACGTGCTACTGACATCTGTGTCGTACTTTTGGTTTTGACCCCTCTGACTTTGTACCGTTGATTACAGATTAAACATCCATAAGTGTACAAATGTGTTGTTATTGATGTGTTCCCATTTGAATATTGTTCACAATAAGAAGCAAAATAAATAAGATATGTTTACAGGATCTTTTTGTTATACGAAAAACTAAGTGATGCGTTTTTCATGGCGCTCAGTATATAACAGTATGACCCTGGATGAAGAGAAATCGCCCGTGTCGAGTGTCTGTAGTTACGCTGGTCCAAATTGATCAGCAGTGAATATTCGCTAGACCGCTACAATTTACTGAGAGGGTGACATTGGTGCTAGTTAATTAGTTCACTTTTTTCTTTTGGCAAATGAAATTCTTACATATTTATTTGACGTATTAGAAAAATGATAATAATTTGGAGTAAATCTTGATAAAACACAAACGACTAGACAGCTGTCCTTGTCAGGCCCTCCCTCCTGCACCACAGACAAGGGCATCTAGCCAAGGGTTACGATTCGCGTGTCTTCAACCTTGGCAGATCGATCTCGAATACATTTTGGACTTCGCGTGCAATGCCACCTGGTGATATATCGCAGTTACACACCTTATATAGACGTCAACGCTAGCCAATCAGAATCGTTTTGTTATACGTATGTTGGAAAGTGGAAAATGGCCGCACACAGTACAGAAAAATTGATACGTGAATTTGGGGAATATGACCCGAAAATGGTTCTTCTGTATCTTCTATTATATTTCGTGGCAGAGGCGACAAGACTCTGTCCGCTGCCATGTTTGTTTACATTTCGCCGATATACATGTGCTCTGCGTAATATGTCTTTTGATTGGATACAGCTACTGATAGTGTATGAAGTTTAGCGCGTTAAAAGTGTACGAATATTAAAGATATATTATGGGAGATTAGATAAAGAGCTGGTACTTCTCACTATATTAGTTAAAAACTAGATAATGTAAAGAGAATTTGCTGAATATTGCAGTCACCTTGATCCACTTTGAACCGAGAATTTAGCGATTTAATTTTTGGCCTAGCCTCGATCATCATTACTAAAGTCGATACGATAAAAAAACATAGTCTCGATTATCCATTTTTTGGTTTAATTATCAATGAGCGTTGTGCAGCAGATATGATTCTAATCCAGTAAATATCGCAGGCTAGCGATGACATTGAGAGTTGATTATGGTCTGGATAAGTTAATTAATATCTAATTAATAATTTAGATTAACATGTCAAGCCTAAATATAGACCTGCAATAGGCAGATGTAGCTCTTGCATAATGTAGGTTTATTATTATTATTATTATTTCCGAGAAACAGTACTGTCCTCTGAAGCAAATAGATATGAATGGATGTCAAGTGAGGTGTTAAGTTTGAGATCAAATACGTCATAGGTTAGGGAGGCCGGGTATGAATCAAGGACCCGATAGTACATACCCTTGATGTTACAATGGGAAACATCATGCCATAATGGCACACTAAATACAGGGTCGGATTAAGCTTGCATGGGACCCCTGGCCGAAAATGTCATGAGTGAAAAAGGGACATACTGTGATCATGGTCCGCCACACTCACACCAATTCAATTTGTATGTCAGTCTGTTAGATAGGAAGATTTATTTGGCACAAACATATACAGCATCATAATAAAATGATAGAATTACAGATTATTCCTTCATATTGGGACCCATGGCGGAGATTTGGATGGCTGAATGGTTAGCACGAGTGCGCTGTATCATACAGTCTGTCATTGAGTCAACTGACGTGGTTTCAATTCCCCGGTTGTACGTGACAAGGAGTGGGTCGACTGTCCAAGCTCGTGGGTTTTCTCCGGGTCCCCCGGTTTCCTCCCACTGCTAAAGAGCCCTACGCGCAAGCGAATTATGGAAATAAAATTGAGCCATGTGTTAGTCCCAAAATGACCTAGTTTGTGTTGAGTGGACGTTAAACCCGATTTTTTCTCTCTCTGGGGACCCCTAACTAGAACTCAGTCACCCCCCCCCCCCCCGCCTTAATCCGGCCATGCATATATGAATCAGTCTCAAGTTTGTTCTCACGACCTCAACCATTCCACCCTTCCCCCCCCCCCCTGCACCCACCACTGCGCCCATGAAGATATCTTTTCTTGAAATTACTCATACGCGTGCTATAGTACCGGAGTACAAAGGCCGAAAGAAATTATTTGGGCAATGTTCCAAGTGGAATGAACAGGGTGGAGTTTAACGAAATGAAATGGGGTTTAATGTCCTACTGTTCTGCTCCGAACTGGCCTAATGAAGACGGGCATACGCCATACAGTGTGTTATGAGGGAAATGTTGTACAGGCAGCGCGCTATGGCCTCCTCTTATATCGAATTGCAACTGTCAAGGGATCTTTTGCGTGCATGCCAATTTATACACGGGAACTCGGTTTTTCGCCCCATCCGCACAAGTAGACAGCTGTCCTTGTCAGGCCCTCCGTTCTAAATACTGAAAAAGGGGAACCACGCCGGACAACCTAGATGAAATGAAATGAAATGAAATGGAGTTTAACGTCCTACTGTTCTGCTCCTTACCTGGGCTAATGAAGACGGGCATACGCCATACAGTGTGCTATGAGGGAAATTTTGCCCGGACAGCGGCACTACGGCCTACTCTTATATCGAATTCCAATTGCCAAGGGATCTTTTACGTGCACGCCAATGTGTACACGGGACCTCGGTTTTTCGTCCCATCCGAACGACTAGACAGCTTTCCTTGTCAGCCCCTCCGTCCTGCATCACTGACAAGGGAGAACCACTTTCTCGGCTAATGCAGGGATCGAACACCCGACCTCCAGGCTAGCGAGCTAGCGTCTTACCCACTTAGCCACGTGATCCCCCAACCTAGATGAACTTTCTCGGCCAATGGGTGGAGTTTAACATCTCGACGGCCAACTTCCTGGGTCAATTCAGGTTACTGTTTTAGGCCTATTTACAATTGGTGGAGAATAGACTTGTAAACGAGAAATAAACCTTTTGACGGCGTTTTACTGTCCATTCAAACGACTAGCATTTTGTTACCACCCAAGTCAGTTATGATAATATGTTGTATAGTATATAATATAATAGACGCACAATGTAAAATACCTCCCTGATAATACCTGTCAATATTACCTGTAGATATATAGGTGTCATAAATGGCGAGATATGACAATACACGTGTATAAAGCTTGACCTCGAACTAGTTCAATGTCGTTATGCTATTACTTTATTGTAATCGAGTGTGTTCATACTATTCAAGAAAGTCTGATTTTGTCATGACATGGAAAATTCTTGAAATTGCGAACACAAAAGTAAGCTTTCATAATCCACGGAGTTCCAAAACATAGAACAGGTAAGAGGATTAACTTCTTCTGATTTTGGGACAAAAAAATATATAAAAGTATATAAGAAACATAACGTTTGAGCACTCAAGGTATTCTTTTAATGTGGTGTGATATTAAACATACATTATGCAAGAGCTAAATCTGCCCATTGTAGGTTATTCTTTAAGCCTGAAATGTTACATAAACTATTAAATAGGCATTTATTAACAAAACAAGACCATAATCAACTCTCGATGGCACCAGATACTCGAGATTTTAACTATAGATTAGAACGGTTCGCCATTTAAAAATTTAATTTAAAAATGGGAATATACCAGAGCCCTGGTTACAACTATGCGCACATCTTGTCAAAACCACAAATGGTGATAACGTGGCTCAGAATGAAGTAATCTGAAAGAAATTTTCAATATTTTTCATTTTACATTATCTATTTTTGAGCTATTATAGCAAGAATGGTCAGCTCTTAATCTAAATCTTATATAATGTATCTTTAAAGAGTGAGAGAGAGAGAGAGAGAGAGAGAGAGAGAGAGCGAGAAATGGGGTTTAACGTCCACTCGACGCAAACTAGGTCATTTAGGGACTAACATAATATGGTTTAATTTTATTTCAATAATTCGCTTGCGTGTAGGGGTCTTTAGCAGTGGGAGGAAACCGGAGGACTCGGAGAAAACTCACGAGGTTGACACTTTAAAGACTACTCAAGGTAATGTGGTGTGATTGTGAAGTAGTTCGTGACACAAGGCATGTGGGTATTTAAAGTACATGTAGTTCGGGATATGTGACGGTTTCGCTAACATTTTTGATGACGACGGAGGCCACCAATCATAATAAATGACATTGGCAACAATATCGAGAAACGTTCGCAGCCAACGTGCCGAGGCACCGTGGCTTCCTGTTAATTCCGATTCTAATAGTAAGTGCAGGGGGGCTACAGACAAACAATTAAACAAGACAAATATACGGACATGACACAGAAATTAAATGAAGTGAAATGGGGTTTAACGTCCAACTGTTCTGCTCCTATACTGGGCTAATGAAGACGGGCATACGCCATACAGTGTGCTATGAGTGAAATGGGGTTTAACGTCCTACTGTTCTGCACTGAACTGGGCTAATGAAGACGGGCATACGCCATACAGTGTGCTATGAGGGGAATTTTGCCCGGACAGCGACACTATGGCCTATTCTTATATCGAATTCCAACTGTCAAGGGACCTTTTACGTGCACGCCAATATGTACACGCGACCTCGGTTTTTCGTCCCATCCGAACGACTATACAACTGTCCTTGTCAGGCCCTCCGTCCTGCATCACTGACAAGGGGAAACCACGCCGGAAAATCAGGATGAACTTTCTCTGCCAATGCAGGGATCGAACACCCGACCTCCAGACTAGCAAGCCAGCGCCTTACCCACTTAGCCACGTGATCTCCTCGAATTTTCTTGGATTGAGTTTGATATCCTTGATTCTTTTTGACTCGAAAACATAAACCTTGATTTTCCATTCTCGAAATGACTTCAGTGGTACACAAAATTTATCTGAACAAGTTACTGTACATTTCCGGAGTTGATATTTAAGATTACTATGCAGTGTGTTATATTTCGTCTTTACATCAGGGCTGTAACTAGCTCAGAGCAACGAGAGGGCGGGAAGTGTTCTCAGGGGTGCCGTAAAATTGACGGACAATGTATATCTATCTTTTTATGGTCAACAATATTTTCACAGGGGGGGGGGGGGAAACTTTTTGCAGCCCCCCCCCCTGCGTTCCCTCTAGTTACGGGCCTGCTTTACATTATAAGTACGTAGACATGCTTATCCAGCCCTAACAAAGTACCCACGTCCAAGTCCATCCAATCTGATTAAAACACAGATCCTGTTTCGTTTCGTTTTTTTTTTATAGTTCACAATTTCGTTTTACTTGTCTTCACAACACTAGGATCCGGAGGAGTTGTTATATAACACGCGTTTTGGTTGAAGTGAGGGATTAGCCAATGAAACGGTCTGTTACTGCGAGGTTTTGGCGTGCGATCCACGGAACTGTATAGTGGGTAAACCACTGGAAACGTCAACGCTGATTGATTAATCGATGTCTGACGTCATAAGGTCAAAAGCCCTTGGTCCGGCCCCTGACACGACCTTCCACGAGAACTGGTCAGATCTTTATGCAGTGTAGGCCGTCGAAAGTATAAAAAAAAAACGAAACGAAATATAGATCTGTATTTTAATCAGATTGAAGTCCATCAAATAAACTAGCACATAATTACCCCATGCTGAGTTTTGAGATCTACTTTTAATATTTGCAGATGGAAGTAAGTAAGGTGGCTGTGCCGAAAGACGATGCCCGGATTATCCAGCAGAATTTTGCCTATTTAGAAAACAATATAGAACCACGGGATCTAACAAGCTATCTTTTCGCGGTTTTTGTTTTTGATGCTCACGATAAAAGCAGAATCAACGGCATCAAGGACAGAAAAGAGCGGACGCACAAATTTATAAATATTTTATTACGACGGGGTGAAAAGGCTTTAGGGTGTTTCATTGAAGCTCTTCAACAGAGTTCGTATTGGGAGATAGCCAGAAAATTACGAGCTGAAATAAAAGCGAGTGCAGCTCGCGCTCAAACAGATTCAGAAAGAACATCTCCATCTGCAAGTTCTAGAGGAGCATTGACTCTGCCACCCATCACGTTAACTACTGCAATATACCATAGCTCACGTAACGATGTCCACAGCCCTAGTTCGCTATCGCCAGTACATGACGGAGATAAAAGAAGTTCCTCGGAACTTTACGAAAAGCTAAATGAGCATGAAGCTCGGTTATCTGGACAGAGAAAAGAAATAACACGATTAACGAATAATAATGAAAGGCTGCGAGAAGAAAATTCCGAAAAAATAAAAGATGAAAATAAAATGTTATATAAAAGAGTTGAAGAACAACAGGCCTTAATCGAAGAGAAGCAGGTCATAATAGACGAGAAGCAGGCCATCATTGATGAACTCCGAAGAGAAGTCCGTACCCAGGATATTCATGACAAACTAGATCAGAAGAACAAAGAGATCGACAAGTTGAAAGCCCAAATATCAGAATCTCAAACTGAACTGAGAAAAAAAGTTATAGAGGAAGAATTAGGAAAAATCGAAGTGAATATAGAAAATTTAGGCGGCGTTACGAGCCGATTAGAAACCGGCATTAGTCAGCTAAATGAACTAGTCGACCATGGCAAAACACAACAAGAAAATCATAAACAGGATGGTCATGTTACTCAATCTAAAGTCTGTGTTGTTATGTAGAATACCTGCTACTTTTTGTTATGTGGAAGTGGAAAGGAGAGGTGGTGGAGGGGGGGGGGGGGAGACAACCACACGGGATGAAAGAAAGGCACGAGACTGTATTTTGACGTATTTGCTTTTCACGTGATCTAAAGCTAGGATAACTAGAACGTTTTAAAATAACTCGGCTCAAACCAGTCCACAGCTAAATTTCATTACGCCGTCCCGTGGGCTGTGGCACGTATGATATCTATAACCAATTAAACATACATTATGCAAGATCTAAATCTGTCTATTGCTGGTCTTTCCTTAGGCCTGAAATGTTATCTAAATTATTAATTAGACATTAATTAACCTATCCAGACCATAATCAACTATCGATTGCATCGCTAGCCTGCGATCTTTAGTGGATTATGAGCCGATTTACTGCATAACTTTCCTTCACGATTTAACGATGGATAATCGAGACTATGTTGTTTATCATACTGACTTTAGTAATGATGATCGAGGCTAGGCGGAAATTTCAATCGCTTAGTTCTCGGTTGATAGTAGATCAATTTGAATGAAATTTTCAGCAAATTGCCTTTACATTATCTAGTTTTTAACTATTATAGTGAGAACTGCCAAGTCGTTATCGAATCTCCCATAATGTATCTTTAAGTAGCTTGTATTATTAACTTGTTTTATTCTGATTAAATTAAACTTCAAGAGGATAATTATCATTGTTGGGAGAATAACTAATTCTTTTTTAATTTCTTTAAACACTAAGTGGTTTATAGAGACGAATTGGACGGAAAAAACAAAGAATTTAAAAAAAAAAATAAATAAAAAAAATATATAATAAAATAAAATCAACAAAATGCATTTTCACATGGCGCTGGCTATTTCTTCCATAATGACTACCAAATGACATTTTCTCCATATAACCAGCGAGAATCTCGTAATATATGACTTTTAGTATGTCTTTTAATTTAAAGATAGATTTCAAAATTCCAACATAGCAACAATTTAAAATGGAATCCAAAATGGTGGATTTTATGTTAATTGTCCTTTGGATATGAGTTGTAAAATGATCTCAAAACTCAAAAATGAATTTCGAGGATCCAAAGTGGCAGAAATGAAAAACTTCTTGAGGATATTGCTTCTAAAATAAGGTTTTCGGGGCTACTGTATTCAATATTGGGTTCAAAATTAAATTCCGATAAGGTTGTCACGCATCAAATTTGTGCATAAGCTAGAAACATTAGGACATCTATCTATCTATCTATACTAATATTTGTGACTGTCGTTTGTCTGTCTGTTTGTCTGTCTGTTCGGGGTTGGCGGCTACACTAGGTCTGCCCCGAGTCTGAAATTTGGGGTATAGGGGTAGCTCGGACAGGGGAGTAACATAGGCCAGGTGGCGTTAGTCTACCACTTCCGGTTTCGGGGTTATGACCCCCGAGCGAAGCCGGGCATTCTTCTAGTACTATATAAAACAACATTTACAGAAATTTCGCCCCGGGTAGGAGAGAACTCCAACGGACCTCCATAGAGTGGTAGCCCCTCGCAAGGCGCAAGGCCAGGTTCAGGGACCCCTGAAACTACTATACACCTCATCAACCCATCCCTGGAATTGATACCACAAGGAGGACTGTAAACACTTACTCAGTCTGAACTACTATTAGGGCGCATATTCCTAGATATATTGGAGTGGTTCTCCCTTGTCAGTGATGCAGGACGGAGGGGCTGACAAGGAAAGCTGTCTAGTCGTTCGGATGGGACGAAAAACCGAGGTCCCGTGTACATATTGGCGTGCACGTAAAAGATCCCTTGACAGTTGAAATTCGATATAAGAGTAGGCCGTAGTGCCGCTGTCCGGGCAAAATTTCCCTCATAGCACACTGTATGGCGTATGCCCGTCTTCATTAGCCCAGGTTAGGAGCAGAACAGTAGGACGTTAAACTCCATTTCATTTCATTTCATTTCCTAGATATATTGAAACCAATTTTAACCCCGGTGAAGATGGTGCAAAAGCAAGTATTTTACAGTTAACAAAAACGAACACAATGACCGTGTGATAGTAACGTTAAATAATGGAAGCGACCGTTTGGTTGTAACGTGATATAATTGAACCGACCATATGGTTGTAACATAACGTGATATATTGGAAGTGACCGTAGGTTGTAACGCGAGATAATAGAAGCAACCGTATGGCTGCAACGTGATAAAATGGAAGTGATCGCATGGTTGTAACGTGATATATAATGGAAGTGTATGGATGTAACGTAACGTGATATAATGGATTTGGTCGTTGGGTTATAACGTGATATAGTGGACGTGGCTGTTTGGTTGTAACGTGATATAATGTAAGTGGCCGTTTTAGCTGTAACGTGATATAATGAAAGTGGTCGTTTAGCTGTAACGTGATATAATGTAAGTGGCCGTTTTAGCTGTAACGTGATATAATGGAAGTGACCGTTTTAGCTGTAGAGTGATATAACGGAGGTGGCCGTTTACCTGTAACGTGATATAATCTAAGTGACTGTATGACGATATAAAGGAAGTGACTGTAGGGAAGAATAAAATGGAATACGTGCATTTAACACATTGACTGAATGAAAATGAGCTTAAAGACATGTGTAACTTGTGATTTATGCAAAACGACTAGATTAAACATACATTATGCATGAGCTAAATCTGCCTATTGTAGGTATTTCTTTAGGCCCGAAATTAATTAGATATTTATTTACATAAAAAGACCTTAATCAACTCTCGATTCCATCGTATGTGTCGGATTTTCACTGGATTTGAATCCGATCTGTTGCTCAACGCTCATTAATGATCAAATTTAGTAATGATCGAGGCTAGACCGAAAATTCAATCGCTGAATGCTCGGTTCAGAGCAGAGCAATTTGACTGAAATTTTCAGCATATTCCCTTTACATTATCTTTTTTTGACTATAATAGTGAGAACTGCCTGCTCTTTATCTAATCTTCCATAATGCCATTTAAAGTAAAATACATCTCAATGAATCAGCGGAGGTTAGATTACCCAACATTGTCAATCGTTAGGAGAACCCGACACAAAGGGAAAGCAGGCAGAATGGAGAATTCAACAGACGTCACTTTTCTGTTGTGTATATATATCCAAAATTATTAGCACAACCGTAAAGCTGCACTACTTTGTTTCACGGTAAAAGAAAAGATAAAAGGTCTGAAGACACAAACTGATTTCAGCACTGGTTTAATAACATTTTAACGTTTTAAAGTACTTTTCATCCGTTTTGGGGCTATTCATTAATAACGGCATTGCATAGTGATGGACACCATACTACAAATTATATCCATTTACATAGTAATACCATAGTTTTAATTGTCTGTAGTTTTAATTTTTAGTAGTTAGATAGTACGTAGCAATCTAATTAAAATATAGATCGATATTTCGTTTCGTTTTTTATACTTTCGATGGCCTACACTAAGTGTAGTAAAGACAAGTAAAACGAAATTTTGAACTATAAAAACGAAACGAAATTGGATCTGTGTTTTAATCAGATTGCGTACGTAGGTAAATAACAGAAAACATGTATACTTGTTAATCTATTATATACATTTACTCTAAAAAAAAAGTAAGGGATATTGAAATGCAAATACCTATGCAGTTTGTGATATGATAAATAGTCATGGACACTTGACATGCTTTGAGAGTATGTTCACAGATGAAGAACTTATCGCCCCAACAGAACCACTGAGCTCCACATGCGACACGCAATAGTGCCATACACGTGGGAGGGGTTTATTTTTATCCTATCCATGCTTGCTTTCCTATCGGTTCTTGCATAAGATTGGCCGTTTAGCGTATCTTTGCTTTAGTGTGTTACGTTTAATTTGATCAAGAGACATGTTCGTCGACGTCAACTTCAACCGACAACACTGCAAGAATTGGCCGTGGCACTGCAAGAGGAGTGGGTCAGAATGCCCCAAATCGTGATTAGACGGTTGATTATGGACATACCACGACGAATTGCTGAATGTCTGAGGATTGGAGGAGCGATTACTCATTCTTAAGACAAAAATCAAAAACGTCCATTTTCACTTTTGACAGTGTATCTCTTTGCGAGTGAAATGGGGCCGTCAGATAAGCCGCCATATGAACTGTTTAGTGCATGTATAGGCAATTGGCCTGTTATTAACATACACTGGTTACCTCTAATAAAAACAGCAGTGCATTTCCGCAGTTTCGATTGTTTCTGAATATCCCCTACTTTTTTTGAAGAGTATTATATAGGTATAATTTAGAAACAAAGAGTGAAAAATAATCTCAGGATAGATTAAGAGAATTAATTAAATTAATGGCTCATTGTTACTTATTGACTAGTAAGTCAAGGAAACTATTTTTTAATAAAATGTTTTTCCATTATTTTTCTTTTTGTTATGTTATGGACTTTACAAATGAGGGTCCACTTTCAATGTCACTGTCCAGTTGGTGGTGGCGTACTCTGTTCCTTAGATATGGATGCAATTTCAAACTCCCTTGCTTTAACAGCGCCTTAAAAGCCCAAAATTGGTTTTAAAGGCAATACAGTCATAGCTTTATTGAGGACAAAATGGTTACAGATAAAAAGAGAAATAAATGAAATTTTTATATGCTTGCTTGATATACATATTTATTGAAATATATATTTGTTAAATATATAATTTTTATCTTTTAACTTTATATTTATTGTTAGTCTTGTGGGGTGTTGTCCAGTTGTTTACTCGTTGTCTAGGTATTTGAATTAATCTACAAAAGAAGAAAAAATAATTTCTATAAATCATCAATTGCTGTATATTTCTACTGGCCTAGTGTCAAGGTGGCGGTTGGATGGCCGAATGGTTGCCGCATCATAAGGTCTGTCATTGAGTCAACTAGCCTGGTTTCGATTCCCCGCTTGTACGTGACAAGGAGTACGGTCGCCTGTCCAACCTCGTGGGTTTTCTCCGGGTCCGCCCTTTTCCTCGTACTGCTAAAGATCGCTACGCGCAAGCGAATTATTGAAATAAAATTGAACCATATAGTCTCTCTCTCTCTCTCTCTCTCTCTCTCTCTCTCTGTCAATAGATAGCTATAGTCCTACAGTCTATGATAGATATAGGCCTACAGTCTATGACAGATATAGGCCTACAGTCTATGAAAGATAGGCCTACAGTCTACGACAGACAGAAATCAACCGATAACATCTAAATAATTAACTTTGCTGTTCTGCAGGTACGAATAGTTTACACATTAAATTGAATTAAATTTAGAAACATGTTTTAATGCCACAGGCTACTGACTGTAACAGACTTTAATTCAATCCTGTTTAACAAAACTATTAGCCATTTGGAGTTTACATTAATTTCTATGAATTGCGCGTCGCCATATTTTATTTGTAAAACTTTCGATTCTCCAGGACAGGCGATAGGTGAAATAGGGACAGACGATATGTGAAATGGGATAATTCTCTGGGGACAGACGATATGTAGAATATACTTCTGCCCTTTCACCCCTCCCACACATTCATAGTATATCAACCAAGTTACATGTACGGGTCTAACATCTGGAAGTGCACGAAGATTAACGAAAACATCCACAGAATCAATAGCATATAATATCCCTCAATATTTGTTAAATATATAATTCAGTCAATAAAAGTATTACCTTAGTTACTGCGGCTACGGCCACCGTTATGGTTATTATAGCCTACTTCCGCCGCCACCACGGATTATCTCCACTGCCATCGTTGACATTCAGAGTTCTAATTCCGATAAGGAAACCTTTGTAGGCTTTTGTTTCGACATTCGCGCCAGGGGGAGGCATTTCTGCAGATGCAATCGTCACTAAAACCAAGACCAGTAAAACTACCAGGTACATCGTCTTCATCTTCTTGTGTTTCTACTGAATACGTTTATTACGGGACCCAGAAGAGTTAAATCACGGAGTGTCAAACTACTAATATACCAGGGTTTATATGGAGAATACAGAAAAAACAGATAATACTTTATTAGTTTGTAAATCTATAAAATTTTCTGTTTAATTACACAAACACGTGCTACTTTGAACCATTATCTTGTAAAACTAAACAATCTCCTGTCCTTTAATTATTTTGTTTAATTTATCAAATCACCTGTTTAATCAAATTAACAGATAGAAGAGTGTCTATCAAATAAAACTTCCATTATCTTGTAAAACTATAAAATATTCTGGTACTTTAATAATTATTTTGTTTAATTTATAAAATCCCCTGTTTAATCAAAATATAAACAGATAGATGACTTTTATTGTTATCTTGTAAAACTATAAAATCATCTGGACCAACATTTAGCAATGAAACGGAATGATAAGTTAAGTTATATACTGTATAATAACTATGAATAGTTTTCATAATTTCAATAGTTCATCTCTGGCTAACATTTTTAAAACCCCATTTGGTTGTAATTCATTATTCCTAAATGTAATACTAGTACTAACTATCCATTTGGGCTATACGTTGTGTGTGTGTGGGTGGGTGTGTGTGTGTGGGTGGGTGTGTGTGTGTGGGGGGGGGGGCGAATGGTTAGCATGTGGGCGCTGTATCATAAGGTCGTAACTGGCGTGGTTTCGATTCCCCGGCAGTACGTCACGGGGAGTAGGGGCGTCTGGCCGACCTCGTTGGTTTTCTCCAGCTTTTCTGGGTTCCTTCCACTGCTAAAGACCCTTACGCGCAAGCGAATTATTGAAATAAAATTATACGAAATACGTTAGTCCCGAAATAACCTAGTTTGTGTCGG